GGGTTTTCTTTTTTTCATCAATGGCGTTTGAATTTGGATCAAACCCTAATTATGGAATTGCAGTTTACAATTCTATGATGATGATTGCTTCACCTCTCCCTGGTTTCTCATTCTGAAATTGTTTGCCAAAATTAATGTGCTTATTATTAAATTATGTGATTTTTTTAATTTTTATTATTATGAATTTATTATTTAATTTTATATTAATTATATTAAAAAAAAAAACTCGGGGGCTCAAGTCATCAGAATGCTCGAGCTCGAAAAATTCGACCTTTCGCCGAGCCGGCTCAGCTAATTTACCGTCTTGATCATGTAGGCCTTTTATACAAAACATAGAACTTTAATGTTTTCTTTAATAAATTATGAAAATCAAATAAATGAGTCTATAGCAATTACCAATTACCAATTACACATATTTAATAAAAGGACATATTTTTTTTATTATTATTTTTTTAAATAATGTACAGCCGGAGGGCAGAAAATTGCCCTTACAATTTGATGATTCCTAAAAAATCATATTATCTCTTAAATCCTATATTACAACAAAGGTAACCCTAATTAATTCCCATTTGTCTCACTCAATTGAAATGCTGAAACTATGTGATCTTTCAATACTAGGAGACCTTGTCAATTTCTTACAACTTGTCTGTTTCTTCATCTTTACTGGATCGGGGCTCTTGAATTTCGACTTCGAACCAAGTTCATGCACGCAATCCGCAATCTTCACGGTGCAAGAAACCACTTCGATCAATAACGAAGCAACGGTGAAAGTCGGGATTATTTCGAGAAGATCAATTTCGGGCCGCCCGTTTTTCAGCATGGATTTGAGCTTCTTCGCAGAAGCTTTTGCATTCACAATGTGAATATCGGCCGATAAAGAACAAGTCATCGTCTTGATCCCCATTGCTAGTTCTCTCAATGCGTAGCTACACTCCGTGCTCATTTTCGTGCATGGTTCTTGAATCTTCTTTTGAATTTCGACAGGTGTCTGCAAATAAAAATATAACACGATTTTTTTTCATGTTTATTGTGGAATTTAAATAAATAAATCAATGATCGAAGAGTGTGATTTAGTTTGACGTTTAATTTAATTACCTGCGCGTCTGAGTTGAGGTAGCTGTTAATTGCATCGATTTTGTACGCACATTCTCTTGAGAGGGATCCGATTTTTAGGTATTGATCCCATGGCTGACGGTACCTAAATTTACCATGTCTGGGCTCCCATTTCGCGAAGTTCACCTGCAAATCAAGAAACTCAAACTTGATTAAATGGGGTTGAAATAATCATTAATATTAAGCTAAGGTTGCGTTTGGATCAAATAATTTTAGGTTTAATGACTCTGGTATAGACTGAAATTCCAACACAATGATATTACAAACGGAGCCTTAAACGTAGTTTTGAGCTTCGATGACTCACCAAAGAATCCTCAATGCCTTTGGAGTTGAGAACAGTTTTGTATTGATCAAGTGATGCTACATTGTTTTCTTGATTCTTCTCGTTTGATACCTGGAAGTACGCTCGTCCGAAACCTAATAATAGTTCACACTCCAAATCAAGAACTAACGAAAAACAATATCACGAAATGGCACTTATATGCACGTGTGAAAAAAAATGCACCTTCCAAGAAAATCGAAAGCTTTTCGATGCTAGAGGCGGTGTATTTATGAAGATCTTCACCAGCCCAAACAGGGCATATGAGCATGCAAATGAAAACAGTAGCGCATCCACCTATAAGTATCGTCGAAAGCCTTCTTTGAGCCATATCTATCACCTCATCATCTCTATAACCCGACACCGTTATCAAACAGAACGTCAGTATAAATATCAGAAGCCCGTAATCGAACCTCGCCTTCATTTTCGGAAAGAATCGACAAAACGTCACCGCAGAAGCTGCAAAAGAAGAAAACAAAGTTCATGAAGCTAATACATTTTTTTTTTCTTCTGGAACAGATATTTCATCAAACAGTTTGTAATCATTCTTCTTTTTTCACCTATGAAGAAAACAGACATGCCGAGTATAACGCACTCGATCTTCTCCCCAGCAAAACTCGCTAATCGATGAGCTGCAACACCCAATCCACCGCCCAACAGCGTCGCGATCGCCCTGTTTACCCCTTTCCCAAGTGTTGCGCCTGTAAATTTTTAAAACGTTGAAGAAAGAAAAAGAAAAAAACAAAGAACAGATCTTTTGTGAAGAATTGAATTATGATTTTTTCTTACCGACGGAGAATTCGAAAACTACGACAACAGTCATAACAGCCCACATTGCGTTGACACCAAAACCTTGGTACGAGAAATCGAAGTAGTAGAACAGAGAAACCAGAGTTATGGCTAACCCAACTTTGAACGAGTGGATAACTCTTCTCGGATCTTCTTCTCCGAGCTTTTTCGCGTCTTTCGCTGTACAAATCACGAAGCTTATCAACCAACTCCATACTTGCTTCAATCCGATCGAGTTTTCTTGATTATCAGTCGCCATTTTTGTTGTTTAAACTGAGCTGAAAATGATTGTGGTTTTTTGTGAGAGACGACGAGTTGGAGTATTTATAGTATGGAAAAATATATATATAGCACGTGGGAAGAATTTTTCACACACTGGAGTGCGTGCTGCTGTGTGTAAGAAAAAAAAATTACTACACGGTTGTGGGTTCGAATCCTTTTGGATTTTCCTGGCACCGTCCTTATTCAGTGAAGGTGACACCTATCTATATCAATGCCAATAATTAAGAGCTTTTAATTTAATTAATTACTAGTAATTGTACCCGTGCGATGCACGGGACAACAAATTGCATTCTTTTGATGTTGTAAGAATATAAACAAACGTTTGATGTATCGTATGATCAAAATTCTATTATACTGGAACATTATTAAGTATACTACACATAAAAAAAAAAGGACATAACTTTACTGTTGAATAATTTTCCAAATGAATTGAATCAGCTAATACCAAAAGAAGAAGCCTTAGGTAGGGAAGAAATAAAATTCAAATGTTGCAGACATTCTGTAAAACGATGTCACAAAATCCGCTAGGGATGAAAATCAGATTTATTTACCATTTTCTGTAAAAATCGAAAATCAGATTATTATAAATAATATCTAGGAGAATTTGATGAAAATCGATAATAATATTTAAAATTATAGTTAGGACTTAGGAGATATAAATTTGATAAAATTAAAAAAATATTATTTATAATAATATTTAGGAGATAAAAATTTGATAAAAATAAAAAATAATATTTAGGAGACAAAAATCTGATAAAAATAAAAAATAATATTTAGGAGACAAAAATCTGATAAAAATAAAAATTAATATTTAAAATAATATTTAGGGGATACAAATATGATAAAATTCAAAAATAATATTTAAAATAATATTAAGGAGATAAAAATCTGATAAAAATTGAAAAAAAATTACAAATATGACATTAGGGGTTCTTAGGGTTGCCCTAGCGTTCCTTTCTTTTATATATAAGATATCTAGGAGAATTTGATGAAAATCGATAATAATATATAAAATAATATTTAGGAGGAAAAAATTTGATAAAAAAATTCAAAAATAATATTTAGGAGATAAAAATCGAAAATAAAATTTAAAATAATAGTTAGGAGATAAAAATTTGATAAAAAATCGAAAATAATATTTCAAATAATGTTAATGAGATAAAAGTTGATAAAATATGAAAATAATAATTAGAATAATATTTAGGAGATAAAATATGATTAAAATTAAAATTATTATTTAAAATAATATTTAGGAGATAAAAATTTGATAAAAATCGAAAATAATATTTAGGAGACAATAATCTGATAAAAAACGAAAATAATATTTAGGAGATAAAAAACTAATAAAAACATGATAAAACTCGAAAACAATATTTAAAATATTATTTAGGAGATATAAATTTGATAAAATTCGAAAATAATATTTAGGAGATAAAAATCTGCTAAAAGTTGAAAATTATATTTAAAATTATAGTTAGGACTTAGGAGATATAAATTTGATAAAATTAAAAAAATATTATTTATAATAATATTTAGGAGATAAAAATAAAAAATAATATTTCGGAGACAAAAATCTGATAAAAATAAAAAATAATATTTAAAATAATATTTAGGGGATACAAATATGATAAAATTCAAAAATAATATTTAAAATAATATTAAGGAGATAAAAATTTGATAAAAATTGAAAAAAATTTACAAATATGACATTAGGGTTTCTTAGGGTTGCCCTAGCGTTTCTTTCTTTTATATATAAGATATTACATATATATGAAGGAAAAAAACAAATACTAATAACAATTATTAATAGTATTATTAATGACAAAGAATGATTGCTTCACTAATAGTCATCATTATTGAAAGAAAAAAAAGGTTTTATTTGAAAATAAGTGTTATTTAAGGTTTTTATATACATATATGATTGGATCTTTAAATGTGGTAAATGTCGTTCGAGCTTTAATAATACTGTTTCGACTACAAATGTGATTTTGATCATTTTTAATTCCAAATTTTGCAAAACCCGAAACATTGAATTTGTAGTATTTTGAGTTAGTTTTCTAATCCAACTTGAATCACCAAAATTGGATGTCGGACGAGAAAGATATACATGAATCAATGGATATTGCCCACAAATTTGATGTATTGAGGTATCTAAAATTCAAAATGTGACTCGTTCATGCATAACTTTGTCACATGGCATCCAATCTAGTGAATTTAAGTTGGATTAGAAAGCTAACCCAAATGACTACAGTTTTTGTGTTTCAAAATTTGCCAAAATTAAAATAAAAATATGTTAAAATCAGGTTCGAAGTCGAAACAACATTAGTAAAATGGAAACGACATTTAACATTTCAATAAAAATAATCTAAGAAATACTAAAAGAACATTTGCAATTAAATGATGTGATAAGTCATAAGAATTAAGGGGTGGTTAATATTTGAAAAAAGTTGGAATAATAAGGATAGTACTAGAAAAATAAATATTACATTATTGCAAATTTAAAATGACGGAAAATATATATAAAAAACTCTGAAGCCGAAATAATTTGAAACGGAGGGAGTACGTTGTGTTGCGATGTTTTTTGGGAGTTTCTTTGTTGGCTAAGTTAATTATAGGATATTTGTGTTTTCAAGTGGGAACACTCAAATAATTAATGATTTGATTAGTGTAATGATTTATTTGTTGGGTTGTTAGTCAAAAACGGGGAATACGATGCTACACTCAGTAATTTTCACCGGGTTGCTCTTTTCTTGATATGTGTCATTTTTTATTTATTTTATAATTATAATTCTAAAACCCATTGAGCCATAACTGAATCCGTAGTGGCAATCTTATTAATTATGGTGTCTGGTTATATTCACCAGGTGTAGCATATAATTTCCTGTCAAAAACCTTGACATATGTTGTTGTTTATCAATGATTTGCGGGTGTTTAATTAATTAATAAATGACCAGTCGACAAGGAATCAATGAGTCATCACTTTATGACTTGAATAATCTTGTAATTATTATAAGCAAAGTTTAATCCTAGGTAGTATTGGTACCGATTATTGCCAAATTTATTTGTCCTAAACCAAAATGAAAGGGACTACTAACTCACAGCTGTTCTTTCGAATTTATGGGTTACATTTAGTCCACAAATTCGATTGCTGATTACACGACTTGTTTTCGTTATTATTGACGACGTGTTTGTTCTGTGTTACACTTGGTAAATTTCACTGGTTTATATTATTATTGTTCTGTGTTACACTTGGTAAATTTCACTGGTTTATATTATTATACGCAAATAATATACTAGTAGTAGTAGCATATATAGTATACGCTAATCATATTGATTTGCGTAACTAAAATTTTCTCTCTCGAAATGATTTTAGTAGCAAATAAGAACATGCAAGTGTGAGCAAATTATGTATGAATTGAACTTAATAATGAAACAAAAACGATCACTAGTGGAGTCAGGATTTTAAGTCAGAAGGACTGAATGCAGTAAAAGAATTTTAAGAATGCTATTGTACACCGAAATTTTTGAAATATCTTATACAATTAATAGCGAAGGCGAATTTGGGTCACGGCCTCTGTGGCGGCGCAAGTTGAGGCTTCTGTTATCATGCGTTGGAGCGCATCCTCGGTTATTTGAGCTGTTCGGGGAGCAGGGAGTGGCGGATCGACAAGTGGTGGGTCCCGAGGGGGGATCACCTAAACCTCGCGAGGCGGATCCGGAACACGTGGAGGAGGTGGCAAGCTAGAGCCTCCGCGGGTTGGGAGGTTATTAACAGTGTCATTTTCTCGCCGAGCGGATGCCTCAGGAGGATCTTGCTGGCTACGTGATCTGGTTTGCATCGTTGCCACAGAAGGCGCGATAATGATGATGCTGGTTTTTGAGATCCCCTCGGGTCGTGTATGAACCGAAATGAGAGCCCACAACGAATTAGTTTTTTGACGATTGGATGGACCTGCGGTCCCATCGAAAAGAGTCTGCCATATTGATGTCAGGAGTAGATGCGGAGCAAGGTTGTGCTCGATTTCCAGTCAGCGGTAGTGGTCGTGACCATAATTGGTCCGTCTACATTGTGCGCCGCGCTGTATGTTTCAGGATATGCCTCAGCACAAGAGTGC